TGTAGAAGGTTTGGTTAGGTTGAGAGACAGTACCACAAGAGTTAATGTGTGTGTGTGTGTGTGTGTGTGTGTGTGTGTGTGTGTGTGTGTGTGTGTGTGTGCAGCTCTAAAAGGGAGGCTTGTTTAGTGCAGTGCAAACTTTGTGGGGGGAAAAATGGCGTCATTGTGTGAGAAGAAACAAGCCCCCAGTGTTGTTGAGCAGCATGAGTGTGTTTTTCAGTGTGTTGGTGGCTTGTTGGTGTCCTCATTTGTGTTCAAATATTTTCATTCAGACAAGGCATTTAAGCTACATGATGCTAATAATTAGCATTGGAAGCTACATGATGCTAATAATTTGCATTGGAAGCTACATGATGGCTGTGTGATGCTAATAATTAACATTAGCAGCTGCGTGATGCTAATAATTGGCATTAGAAGCTGCGTGGTGCTAATAATTAGCATTAGAAGCTGCATGATGCTAATGATTAGCATTAGAAGCTGCATGATGCTAATGATAAGCATTAGAAGCTGCATGATTCTAATAATTGACATTAGAAACTGCATGATGCTAATGATTAGCATTGGAAGCTGCATGATGCTAATAACTTGCATTAGAAGCTGCGTGATGCTAATTATTAGCATTGGAAGCTGCATGATGTTAAGAATTAGCATTAGAAGCTGCATGATGCTAATAATTAGTATTAGAAGCTGCATGATGCTAATAATTAGCTTCAGGATTTAGTTTCTGTCTTCCTGGTAGACATGTTTGTCGTTGACTCTGCAGGCCTCAGGCTGAGTTGTGTAACAAATGTTCTGCCAGTTGTAGGATATTTATCATCCTGTAGGGAGTATTTTAAAATGGAAAGTTTGTTCAACATGAATCTTGACTTTGTTACAAATATTTTCACTTTACTGCAGTTAATCTATTAAAATCTATTTTAGCACAGAGGTGAACACAAACAAGCTGTCAGGAGTTCAAAACTCCAGTTCTTTAACTGTAAATGAAATGTTAAAAAGTTGAAAACTTGTTCATGTTTTCTACATATTTCTGTTTATTTTATCATTTTAAGTTATTTGTTGCTATGCTTACTGACGTGAATGTTCTGAGTTTTTCAGTTTTCTTCATGTGAGCTGTTGAGATATTTCTGTTTGACAGCTTCTTTCTACCTCCAGCTCCAAACCTGGCTCCCAAACCCACCGTGGTCCCACCAGCACGTCCAGATCTAAACCCGGTCCTGGCCAGGTCTCCATCTGTCCCCTCTGCTGCAGCACCCAGACCTTCAGCACCAGCCAAACCTCCGACCCCGGCCCTGAGGAAAGGTTCTGTTCCTCAGATCAAAGCTGAAACCACCAACCCTCCAATCCCAAAGTCCTCAGAGTCTCCTCCTCCTCCTCCTCGGTAACAAAATGAAGATGAAATAACTAATAATCAGGCAGTTCTGTAAGGGCTGGTTTCTGTTTTTCTTTGTTTGACTCAGAACAGACAGTTTGATTGATCAGCTAAAACACTTAGCTACTTCCAGCTTTAAGCTAGTGCTTTGTTTAGCTAGTTTGCTGGTTTTAGCTAATGTTTTATTTAGCTAGTTTGCTGGATTTAGCTAGTGTTTTGTTTAGGTAATTTGCTGTTTTAGCTAGTGTTTTATTTAGCTAGTTTGCTGATTTTAGCTAGTGTTTTATTTAGCTAGTTTGCTGATTTTAGCTAGTGTTTTATTTAGCTAGTTTGCTAGTTTTAGCTAGTGTTATATTTAGCTAGTTTGCTGGTTTTAGCTAGTGTTTTGTTTAGCTAGTGTTCTGCTGTTTAGCTAATGTTCTGCTTGTAGCTAGTGTTTTATTTAGCTAGTTTGCTGATTTTAGCTAGTGTTTTATTTAGCTAGTTTTAGCTAGTGTTTTATTTAGCTAGTGTTTTGTTTAGTTAGTGTTCTGCTGTTTAGCTAATGTTCTGTTTGTAGCTAGTGTTTTATTTAGCTAGTTTGTTGGTTTTAGCTAGTATTGTATTTAGCTAGTGTTTTGTTTAGCTAGTGTTCTGCTGTTTAGCTAGTGTTGTTTAGCTAATGTTTTATTTAGCTAGTTTGCTGGTTTTAGCTAGTGTTCTGCTGTTTTAGCTAGTGTTTTATTTAGCTAGTTTTCTGGTTTTAGCTAGTGTTTTATTTAGCTAGTTTTCTGGTTTTAGCTAGTGTTTTATTTAGCTAGTTTCCTGGATTTAGCTAGTGTTTTGTTTAGGTAGTTTGCTGTTTTAGCTATTGTTTTATTTAGCTAGTTTGCTAGTTTTAGCTATTGTTATATTTACCTAGTTTGCTTGTTTTAGCTAGTATTGTATTTAGCTAGTGTTGTTTAGCTAGTGTTTTGTTAAACTAGTGTGCTGCTTTAGATAATGTTTTGTTTTGGTAGTGTGCTGCTTTTACCTGGTGTTTTTTAACTTTTTCCTACAAGCTAGCCTTTTGTTACTTTTAGCTAAGGTGTTGCTACATTAACTAGCATTTTACTATGTTTGTCTTCTGTTCTGTTTCTGTTATCTACCACTCTTGGGGTTTTCAGTAGTTTGAGCTCAGTTTCTAAAAGACTTGTTGTTCCAGAGTCTCCAGATGTTTTTCAGGCTGTTTCATCTTTAATAACAGCTTTTTTTACCTGACTCTTTCTTTACAGTCCATCGAGTGCTAAACCCCTTCCTCTTCGTCCTCCACCAATTAAATCCGCTCCAAACAGACCGCCCCCTCCCGCCATCGAGCCGACACCCTCAGCCAATCAGATCACAGCTTCTAAATCTGCTCCCGCCATCTCCACCCCACCTGCCTTGTCTTCAGCCATGACGACCAATCAGACACAGAAGGTTGCAAAGAAAGGACCGCCCCTGCCGCCCCGCCCTAAACCTGGACACCCGCTCTTCAGCAGCTACATGGTGCGCAGAAACACAGGCTGCTGTTAAATAAAGATTATTTTATTTTATTTTATTTTATCTCTCAGAAGCAGGACGTCCTGATCGTCCTGGATGATTCGACCCCCTCACCCTCTGATGAAGGAAAGGATCAGACCACCCCTCTTATCAACCCCTCGCAGTGTCTCCTTGACCCGGACCACCAGCCAGACCTGGTCCAGGATCAGGACATCCAGTCCAAACCTGCTTTACAAGGACAGTCAAACAACCAGGTACAACTACAAACATTTCAAACCTCACGTTTAATTCATTTATTTACACAATCAGATAATTAAAGACAAATCTTTATCAAACTGAAAACATTTTAACTTGGACTCTGAAACTTTATTTAACATTTAAACACAAACTAATGTTTCCTGTCTGTTTTCAGTCGATTCTTTCAGTGCAGCCCGCTGAGCAGAAAGAGCAGCCAGACCCTGCTCCTGTCAGGTGAGACAAACACACAACGACACACACATTACACAATTACACGCACACACTGACCATGATGTGTGTCCACGCAGCGGCCCACGATGCATCGCTCTCTTTGACTACGAGGGGGAGGAGGATGACGAGCTCACCTTCTCTCAGGGCGACGTCATCGCACTCCTGGAGCTCGTGGACGACGATTGGGGGCGGGGCCAAATCCACAAGCGGGCGGGGATGTTTCCTCTGAAATTCGCAAAGGTGGTGGAGCCCCTCCCACTGACGACGTCATCAGGGCAAACGGTTAAACCGGAGACAAACGCAGCAGGGACGGAGAGTTCTGGTGAGTCGAGAAACGTTTTCTACTGCGCTTTTCTTCTGTGGTTTTTTAAAGTTTCTACAGATGAAAAAAACATCACCAAAGTTAACGTGCATGTCTTCAAAACAAACCTGAACTGAAGTGTTCTTCAGACAGGAAGTTGTTTCAGAATAAAAGTTTTCATCACCTGAACTGAAGCGTTCTTCAGACAGGAAGTTGTTTCAGAATAAAAGTTTTCATCCCCTGAACTGAAGCGTTCTTAAGACAGGAAGTTGTTTCAGAAAAAAACTTTTCATCCCCTGAACTGAAGCATTCTTAAGACATGAAGTTGTTTCAGAATAAAACTTTTCATC